GCATTCTGTGATTTGTGACATCACAGCCTCTGGGGACAGCAGGGTGGCTGGCAAGTGCCCCCAGCCGTTCCGTGCCCAGAGCCCCTGCAGACCTCGGCGTGCAGAGACGTCCAGAGCCTGTGTGCTGGTGGCAGCTCCTCCTGCGCACCACCATGGCTGGCCCGGGCGGCTCCTGGATGCTGCAGGTGTACCTGCTGGCGCTCCTGGTCCATCCCCTCGACCCCTCCAGCCGTCCTGAGCGGGGCACCTCGGGCCTGCTTCCCGAGGAGCTGGAGCTGCAGGACACGGCCAATGAGGCCGGCCCGTGGGGGGACCTGGCGCTGCTGTTCTGGACCTGCTTCCTCGGAGACGTGCTGGTCGCGGGCGTCGTCCTGGGCTTCTGCCTCGGCAGAAGGTTCTTGAGACGCCGCAGAAAGGTGAGGGAGGGCTCGGGCAGGCAGGAGGCTCTGCAGACACCGCAGAGAGGTGAGGGAGGGCTCGGGCAGGCAGGACGGGCAGAGCCGAGGCTGCCGGGGCTCCAGGGCACCCCTTGGCCCAGCCCCGGGGCAGAGGGGAGCGGAGCCTCCGGGCGGGCATCGGGCCGGGCCGGGCCGGGCCAGCAGCCGCAGCGGGGCCGGAGCTCCGCTCGCTGCGGCCTCTGCCGGGCAGCCCTGGCAGGCCGAGCCTCCCTCGCAGCGGCCTCGGCCCCACTCCGCCGCTCCCATGGGATCCCTCTCTGCGCTTTGCCCCGCAGGAGCAGTGCCGGGACCATTCGGGCCGTGACGGAGCCCGCTGCCGCTGCTGCCGGGGCCGCGGCTGCCCCACGACGCTGATGCAGCTGCTGAGGCAGAACCGCGCCCTGCTGCAGCTGTGCCTGAACCACCCGCCCCGCAGGGCCCCGGGCCGAGGGAGAAGCGCCGGGGCCGTCGGAGAGAGGAGAGTCCGGTCCCACTCAGCGCCGAGTTCCACCGCGGCGCGGAGCTCCGGGGCATGTGTGACCAGCGGCATCCCCATCTCCAGAGCTGGAGACACCCCAGCCTCAGTCCAGCGTTTCCCGACACCTCTCCCAAAAGACATTGACATTTCCTTTAGTATTCCCCTTCTAGAAGTTCAAGTATTTTAGGCATAAGATTCTTACCCCGTAGTGTTGTAGTATTTTAGGCATAAGATTCTTACCCCGTAGTATTCTAGTCCCCCTGTTGTTATAAATGAATTTGTTTTAGTAGGCAGGATTAAGGATAGTTAATTGTTTTAAATAAATTGTTAGTGTAATGAATTGTTTTACTGTAATGAATTGTTATAATTAATATAATAAATTACAAAGTTATATGAATTGTTAGTTATGTGTGTGTAGCTGTCAATGCAGAGAAAGGGGAAGGGCTGTATCCAAGAGTGAAGACACCAGCTCAACTTGGGATTGGGAGAGCCAACCAGGCAATGGTGCCTTAAGCTTCGGGAATGATTGGCCAGGAATGCACCACCGTACACGAAGGGACCGGAGGTGGTGGTTTGGTTGGGACAACATTCTGGCTTGCCAGGAAGACCTTCAGGACTGGGTCTCCCAGTTGCAGTGTCATACATTGGGGCGCTGGCTGGGAGGGGGTGACAAGGGGGGCACAGGGGGGTTCCACCATCTCAAGCAACTTGGGGGGCAGTTCCTCAGGGTGAGCGCGGGGACTGTCCCGGGCATCTTGAGGAACTAGGACCTTTGGGGTGGGCTGGAGACTCCTAACTGGAGACCTGCAGAGAGTGAGGCCACTGGTTGGGGGATTGTCCCTCTTTTGGCAGGGGGAGGGAGTAGGAGCCTGACCAGAGGGGAGTAGGACCCCAGGCCAGGAGAGCTGGTCAAGGGGAGATTCCTCGTAGCACAGCGACGAGCCGGGGAAGGCGAAGGCTGCCAGCTAGGAGAAGTCCCTTTACCTATTAGGGAGGTTTAGAACCTGCTTGTTAGGGACACAATTTTGTTTCAGTTTATGTAAAGTTATTTATGTGTGATTTACTTTTAGTTGGGATTTTGTGGTCAGTGTTGTCAAGTTCATTTATTCTTTCTATTGCTACTGATAGTAAGTTATTTACTGGATTATTATATTGTGTGGTTTTATTTATTTTAATACTAAAATAGCTGTCTAGCATTTCGCAATATCACTAGTAGTATTTTGCTTAATCTTTGTGTTTTAAGTGATAGATGTGTATATTGTTTTGCTGAGTGTATTGTGATTTTGTGACATTGGGTTTAAGAGTCAGTGTTTTGTTGGTATTTGTTGCCTGGATTTTATCTGTTGCTTTGGAGGTTTGAGATCATTGGTTCCTCGAATTGCATAAGAGAAGTGATTGTGTAGTTTTAGTGGCCTGAAGGAACCATTTTAGTTGTGGTATCCTTGGTGGCTCAGAGGAGCCATTTTAGGTGCCCTTGGAAGTGGGGGAGTTCCCCTCAGGAAGGGCTGTGGTAGCCCGATAGTGAGTGACAGGTGGACCAGAAGAGTCGGTGAAAACTTCCGGCTGGTCAGCCATTTTGGTTTGTTCTGAGCTCTGGTTCCCACTGTCGGCCATTTTGGTTTGTTCTGAGCTCTGGTTCCCACTGTCGGCCATTTTGGTTTGTTCTGAGCTCTGGTTCCCACTGTCGGCCATTTTGGTTTGTTCTGAGCTCTGGTTCCCACTGTCGGCCATTTTGGTTTGTTCTGAGCTCTGGTTCCCACGGTACCTGATATTCCCAGGAGTCTCATATTCATTTCTGTTTAAGTTCAGGTTTCATTTGTTTCTCACTGCGAATTGTTTATTCAATTAAATTTGCTATTTGAATATATTCACACTCGTCATGGAGCTGATTAAGCAGAAGTTGATTCTGTATTTCAGATACAGTCTCAAGATCATAAAAATTCTCTACTGTCCTTCTGTTACTGTCAGCTGTGCTCAGAGAATCCGTGTGACATCCAGCCAGAATGGCCAAACACAACAGCCCCAGGTGTTCAGTAAGACACTTTTGCCAAAAACCCAGAGGAAGAAATATTTGCCTTCAGACTGGAGCACTTTATAGAAAAACTTCCTAACTTACCTGCCTGCACACCACTTCTAGAAAACCAAGAGAGTGACTCTTAACATCAAATCAACATTTAAAAATTATAAAAGACCAGAGCTTTCAATGATACATACGTTAGATAATGAAATATCACCTATATTCAAAGGCCAATAAAACAGTGTTTAAAGAGTCTAATGTCATCCCATACTTCTAATGCACAGGCACCTTCTTTGGGCTTTGCTGGAATGTGGTTTTAAGGAACACCTGGAATGAGCAGTTGTCTTCTACTTTCAGGGCTCAGAATTTTAACTACTAAACTTTTCTTGGTTTTTAGTCTGAAATCACAGGTGTCCCCACTCATAGCTGCCTGAGGATTAACATAGAAATTGACTTCAATCATTTGCATGCTGATTTTTTTCTCAAAAACATGTTAGGAGCTAAATCCAGAACTGTGTTGATTATACAGATTATCCAGGATTCCAGTCCTGAGCAAAAGTACCTCCTGTAGCTCATAGAAAGGAATTTAGAAAATAATTGCTATCCTATTTCTCACTGTACATTGAACTTTCAACTGCTTCAACATAATCAGCCTGATTATGCTTGAGCATTCAGTTGGGTGGACAATTAAGTGCTAAAAAACATCTGACCCAAATATTGCACACTGCTATAGCCACACCCTGAAAACACTACCAAATAATGCAATTCTCCATCAGTTTAATTTCTCTTGTGCAAAAAAGCCACCATAGGCTACTTAAAAGTATTTCAACCAAACAGATAGAAAACCACTATCACTGGCAAAAAAACCCTCAAACTGTTTGAAACACCCAGAAGGTTTCAGCAGTGCCTGGTGGGGAGAGAAAGGGCTGAGGAACACTCAGGTGAATGGATGCCCTTAGAAAACAGGGAAGTGAACACATACACTGCAAGTGCTTGATGGGAGCCTTCAAAACTCCACTGCTCAGAGGCAGTCTGGGAAGTGAAGATCCAGGTTTGCTGCAGCTAACCAGCCTGAAATACCACAATGTCATCTCCAATAGCTTTTCTTTCTTGCTTCTCTGTTGAAGTCATAACTTAAGGCACGTGCAATGGCCCTGTAAATGCATTACAAGCCTTACAGAATGTGTGTATCTTCATATATCCAGCTTCCCATCCTTTATGCCATCCTTTAGCAATGATTTATGATGAAAAAGCAGTTAAATATTAAGTTTTATCTAAGGAATTAAGTCTTAGAGAGATTAATTATTGTTAATGACACAGTAAACATTTTAGTAACATCACTACAGTAATCCAGATCTTTCTGCCTGCTTCCTTTGAACTTCATTTAACTTTTCTGAACATCCTTTCTTCATCCACTTACCCTCTCTATTTCTTTCTAGTTGAAGATACAGTGAAGTTTGTAGGCTCCCTGGTTTTGAGAAGTGTTCATATTATTTCCTTCCATTTTAAGTGGAAAGGTAACATTACAACAAGGAAACAATTACAACACATTCTCAGAATATCTTGCTTTGGGTTTTGGGCTTTGTTTCTTTCTTTCCATGGCTCTTTTGAGGGAGGAGTGTTTGTTTTTAAAAGGTAACATTTTCTAAAGGATACTTTGACATGCAGTGGGGAAAAAAAAAAGAAAACCATGCTTAGAAATAAGGCTGGCATCCTGCTGCACACGAGTTACCAATTCTTCTGGCCTTGCTTTCCAGCCACGTTCTAGCTGGAATGTAGTTGGAATGCCTCCTCATGAATCAGACCATCTACACAGAAATACATCCAAAGCCAGATGCCCAGGATGACAGGAACTTTACAGGCCACCAGCTGGGAAATTGTCTTCAAAGTCAGGTAGGAAAAAGTGAAGTTTTTCAGCCTGCTAAGGCATAAGGACTACAGGGAGAAGATTAATAAGTGGCCCCACTAGATTTTGACTTCTCTGGCTCACTCCTAAGACAAGCTCTCTTTCCCTCTATGCCAAGTGTCCTTTTCCTGGAGTTAGGAATGAGAATGATGTTTTTTGCTTTGTGTCTGATACCCCTGGTCCCAAATGAAGAGGACTTTTCCTCATGAAGCTGTCAGCAACTAATGGGAAATTGAGGATGCTGCATTCATTGAAGCAGATCATCCCAGTTCCCTTCAGAACTCAGCCTAGCACCCTGAGAAGCTTTATCATTAAAATTCACAGAAAATCAATTAAGAGAGGCCTGAAGCAGACTGGGCTGCCCACAGGGCCTCTTTGCCTTACCTCAAAAGGTAACAAATGTCAAGGGACAGAAGGTGCCAGTCCCAGTAAGCTGGCTCTGTTTGCCTGGGAAAAGTTCATTAGAGGAATTAAAGACTCACACCAAGGAGTGGAGGACCAAGGCAAAGCAATTTTGATAGCCAGTTGGTTCAATATTGAATCATATAAATAACTGACATAGTGATTTGGTAGGGATTTCTAGTAATTTTGGCTAATTGGAGGCTGAATCAGAGATAAAAAATACAAAATGAACATAATGAAAACTTTCTTAGTAGTATAATAATTAATCATACTCAGTGGATAAACATCTTAAAATAGAGCTCTCTATCTGTTGCAAAAGCTAGGCACCAGTTGCAGGAATGGACTCTGTTGATTTTCATGAATAAATCAATTTTGGAGGAGCAAGTGAGACAGATAAACTGCAGCTGGAGCAAGATTTAGCTACCCCATAGTCAGAGGCAATGTCATGGTACAGCAGTGGTGAAAAGCAGATGCTGACCTTGGTGCTTACCCAGCACTGAAAGAAGAGGCTTTGTCCAGTTGTCCATGGGACTTTGATGAAGAGAACATCTGCTGGATGAGACAAGGCTGTTTTGGTCCACATAAGAAATTGGGATGAGAGCTGTGAAAGATGTTCCTGTCCATGAGTTGGGGTGAAAAGAATGAGTTGTGCTTCTGTCCTGTTGGAACCTCTTTGAGGGGGGTCAGCTGTGCTGCTGGCTGCAGAAAAATCAAAAATCACCAGTAATTTGTTAGGGTTAGTAAGCTACCTGAGGAAAAGAGAAACAATGAACTGATCTGAAAGAATGCTGCTGTGTTAAAGGATTCATTCAGGTATCATCAAACTGTGCCAAAGCCCATGTCCTTGGGTGTGAGAGACACTAAACATTTCCCTCCTCAGCGTAAGGAATTGAATTGTCTCCCAGAAAAGGGAGCTCATCACCAGATTTGATGAAAGCTCCCAGGAAAAGCAAGTGTTGTGCAAACCTTCGCAACTCTGCTAATGACTTTTCTGGGATGGATGTGCTCTCATCCAAAACTGACACCACCACAACAAGGGGCTGTAAGAGCCACGTGCATAAATGGGGAGTTCAGTGCTGAACTGGCCATTCCTGCACGCCCCAGCAGGGCACCAGGAAGCTGCAGTAACTGCTTGGCCACATCAGATGGCCGAGTGTTCTTCCACAGTTGTGAGGAAAAAAGTAACTAAGCATTACAAGCACAGGTACCAATTAGTATAATCTGGCATATTGTCCCACAGGCTCAATTTAGTATTTTTCCTAGCAATGCAGCAATAACTGTTCCTCCTAAACATAATTATGTTATCTTCAGTACAGCATTTCCATCTACATTTGCTACCTTAGGTATGAGCCAGCACCAGTACTCAGCAAAGACAAAAGGGCAAAGTTTTAAAATTTAAAAATTGCCAAGACATTTTAATGAAGAATCTTTTTTATTTCAGTGATTCCATCTGACAGGAAAGCAAAGGCGAGCAGCAGCAGGCAGGTGAGCTGGTGCAGGCAGGGCTAAGGATCAAAATGAACGGTGGTGGTCACATACCCAGTGTAGGAAAAGCAGGCAGGACAGAGGAATCATCTCTGAAATTAAGATGGAAGTTCAGCTTTTTCCTTTTCTGTTCAGATTGACTATAGAGGTTGTCTGGTGTGGGAGGCAGACCCAGGGAAAGCTATCCAGGCTTGCCCTGTGAAACCACTGATGTATGAGATCCCCGCCTTCCCCATGTCTATCAAATGTTGGACCCTGCCAGTTAATGTCACTCACTGTTTGCTCCATCCCTCAGTTCTGGAAAGTTCTCTGTTCACCCATTGGTTCTAGTTATGTCACCCCATCCCTGCTCCTCCCCTGAGTCTTCTTCTCATTGATCCCCATGTGCCCTGAGCCCTCCTACCCTTCCCCTGTTGTATGTCCTGACCCCTCCCCTGAAGGGGCTCTCGGAGTCTGTTTCCCTCCCGTGCAGTTGTTTCCCTGTCATCTTCCTACTTCACCTTGCAATAAACTCACGGAACTCCAGCAGCCCAAGTGTCCTCTGGTCTCCAGGGTGGAAGATCAGATTTCACTGCCCGAGGCCCCTTCGACCGCTCCCTCAGAGACTCCCTGTGGGACCAAAGGTCCAGGGTGCCTTTAGTCTAGCAGCTTTTCAGACTTTATGTCATCTTAGAGACCTTACTTAGATCCATATCAATCAGCTGAGCCTCTGCTGCCATCAAAATTGAGGGAAATAACATTTCTTTAGCACTGCTTAGAAACACAGCAGATAAAACGAAACTGTACATTCCCAATGAGCGAAGGAATTATGTCCTATCCACCTTCAATAAGTCAGCAAGGCCAAAATCTCTTTAGAGCATCTCATTTACTTTCAGCCTTGCACAGTGAGCCCTCAGCTCTCATGGATCAGCACTGTGGGAGGTGCCCAAGGGAAGCCCGGCCATGGCACTCCGGCTCCGGCCTGCTCGCCATGGTGGCCACAGGGCACAGGTTGGAGTGGAACTTGCAGGGCCCTTCCGAGCCCGGGCATTCTGTCATTTGTGACATCACAGCCTCTGGGGACAGCAGGGTGGCTGGCAAGTGCCCCCAGCCGTTCCGTGCCCAGAGCCCCTGCAGACCTCGGTGTGCAGAGACGTCCAGAGCCTGTGTGCTGGTGGCAGCTCCTCCTGCGCACCACCATGGCTGGCCAGGGCGGTTCCTGGATGCTGCAGGTGTACCTGCTGGTGCTCCTGGTCCATCCCCTCGACCCCTCCAGCCGTCCTGAGCGGGGCACCTCGGGCCTGCTTCCCGAGGAGCTGGAGCTGCAGGACACGGCCAATGAGGCCGGCCCGTGGGGGGACCTGGCGCTGCTGTTCTGGACGTGCTTCCTGGGAGACGTGCTGGTCGCGGGCGTCGTCCTGGGCTGCTGCCTCGGCAGAAGGCTCTTGAGACGCCGCAGAAAGGTGAGGGAGGGCTCGGGCAGGCAGGAGGCTCTGGAGACACCGCAGAGAGGTGAGGGAGGGCTCGGGCAGGCAGGACGGGCAGAGCCGAGGCTGCCGGGGCTCCAGGGCACCCCTTGGCCGAGCCCCGGGGCAGAGGGGAGCGGAGCCTCCGGGCGGGCATCGGGCCGGGCCGGGCCAGCAGCCGCAGCGGGGCCGGAGCTCCGCTCGCTGCGGCCTCTGCCGGGCAGCCCTGGCAGGCCGAGACTCCCTCGCAGCGGCCCCGGCCCCACTCCGCCGCTCCCATGGGATCCCTCTCTGCTCTTTGCCCCGCAGGAGCAGTGCCGGGACCATTCGGGCCGTGCCGGGGCCCGCTGCCGCTGCTGCCGGGGCCGCGGCTGCCCCACGACGCTGATGCAGCTGCTGAGGCAGAACCGCGCCCTGCTGCAGCTGTGCCTGAACCACCCGCCCCGCAGGGCCCCGGGCCGAGGGAGAAGCGCCGGGGCCGTCGGAGAGAGGAGAGTCCGGTCCCACTCAGCGCCGAGTTCCATCGCGGCGCGGAGCTCCGGGGCATGTGTGACCAGCGGCATCCCCATCTCCAGAGCTGGAGACACCCCAGCCTCAGTCCCGCGTTTCCCGACCCCTCTCCCAAAAGAAAATGACATTTCCCTCAGTATTCCCCTTCTAGAAGTTCAAGTAGTTTAGGCATAAGATTTTTACCCTGTAGTATTCTAGTATTTTAGGCATAAGATTGTTACCCCGTAGTGTTGTAGTATTTTAGGCATAATATTCTTACCCCATAGTATTCTAGTCCCCCTGTTGCTATAAATGAGTTTGTTTTAGTAGGCAGGATTAAGGATAGTTAATTGTTTAAAATATATTGTTAGTGTAATGAATTGTTGTATTGTAATGAATTGTTAAAAGTAATATAATAAATTCAAAGTTATATGAATTGTTAGTTATGTGTGCGTAGCTGTCAATCCAGAGAAAGGGGAAGGGCTGTATCCAAGAGTGAAGACACCAGCTCAGCTTGTGATTGGGAGAGCCAACCAGGCAATGGTGCCTTAAGCTTCTGGAATGATTGGCCAGGAATGCACCACCATATGGAACAATCAGGGACCAGAAGAAGGACCGACCCTCCGCCAGATCAAGAACGCACCAGTCCTGTCCCCTTCAAGAGACTCCAAAGATCCCTGGGTGTCGAACACCCAGGTCTTTTTCCTGTGGACTCTGTATCCCTGTGAAAAACACCCTGTGTTGTTACACAGGCATAAGGGGTTCCTTTAATTGCATAAGAGAAGTGACTGTGTAGTTTTAGTGGCCTGAAGGAACCAGTTTAGTTGTGGTATCATTGGTGGCGCAGAGGAGCCATTTTAGGGGGAGTTCCCCTCAGGACGGGGTGTGGTAGCCCGATAGTGAGTGACAGGTGGACCAGAAGAGTCGGTGAAAACTTCCGGCTGGTCGGCCATTTTGGTTTGTTCTGAGCCCTGGTTCCCACTGTCGGCCATTTTGGTTTGTTCTGAGCTCTGGTTCCCACTGTCGGCCATTTTGGTTTGTTCTGAGCTCTGGTTCCCACTGTCGGCCATTTTGGTTTGTTCTGAGCTCTGGTTCCCACTGTCGGCCATTTTGGTTTGTTCTGAGCTCTGGTTCCCACTGTCGGCCATTTTGGTTTGTTCTGAGCTCTGGTTCCCAATGTACCTGATATTCCCAGGAGTCTCATATTCATTTCTGTTTAAGTTCAGGTTGTATTTGTTTCTCACTGTGAAGTGTGTATTTAATTAAATCAATACAAGTAGCTTATATTCATGGGTCACTCTACTAGTAAACGTTCCCACAAGGGAAGAGTTACGAAAACAAAACTGAAAGATATACAAGACAGTCCATTGGGGGAAATGTTAGAAAATTGGGACCATGATAAAAATTTAGAAGAATTGGATAAGATAAGAATGATACATTATTGTATTGAAATATGGCCACAAAAGAATATTCAAGACGGACCTGTTAACTGGCCTTGGCAAGGGTCAAAAGAAAAATGGTTATGTTTAGCTTTAAATAAGTATGTTAATTCAAGAGAAGTTTTAGATGAGGAAGACACTCACACAGAAGTACTGCCAGCTGGTACTTTTGGCATTTCCTCCAAGTTTCCTCTTAGTTTTTTTATCTCTCACCTAAATAAGAGAAAAAAGCCCAAATAAATGTGACCTTTCAGGCAGCTAAAAGATGTGGTTGGTCCTTAACAAAGCATTTTATTCTGCCTGTATAATAACCTGCGGGGGAAAATAGGAGCTTTTAGCAGAATGTCCCTGTGCTGTTGCAGTTTTCTGCCACTGTGAGAAATCACAGGCACGGCTGCCAGGCTCCTGCAGCTCCCCTGGGGCAAGGGTCAGGGACCACTTATCCCTGCAGGGGTCACTGGGAATAATGATGGGGGAAATGTGGAGGGAGCTGCATAAATAAATACTTGTCATTTCCTTAGCAAAAAACCCTCAAAGCTATAAAAATAGTTTGCCTCTGAAGTAGGAGAATTTAAATTAACTATTTTAGGTCTGCTTGTGGTTCAACATTCATCAACCTGAATTTGAATATGCATAAAGTAATTAAAGGTAGCTGAAACTTAAAAATACATGTCTATTTCCTTGTGCATAACCAATGTGAAACAGTGTTTTGCTTTAGATCTTCTTGATACTGACTTCATTCAGCCTTATACTCATTAGGGTATTAAATACATGGGGAAGTATATTCTGTGTTTCATTAAGCATGTATTATTAATTAGGCAGGCATAGCTTTACCAGAGTCATTGCTGACACCAACATTACCTGGCTAAGTTCAAAGTACTGACACAAGAACATCGTAACAAAAGCAATGTTCAAGAGAGCCTCAAAAATAAAGACACAGTTCAAAGTTTTTCAGATGTCCTGCAGCTGCTAAGGTATCTCCAGAAAGAGGAGCAAACTGAAAATTGCACAGGAAATTTCAAACCCATTTCTTTTTTTTTTCCCTTAACTTTCTTGTGGGCAACAGAAAACTCCTAATGCAGGGAATGAAATGTAGTTTTTATACCTGAGTCATGAGTCGTCCCCTCAGTTTCAACCAGATCCCCTGCTCAGTGGAATCTTGGAAAGGATCAAATCATCAGTATGAAATTCAAATTATGTTCAGGAAAGTAGGCATTTTTTCTCCATTCCCCTCCCTCCCCAACACCACGTGAGAAAGGCTCAGTTTGAAAGATAATTATTACAAAATTATACTTAGACATAATAAGTTTGCTACAAGTTCCAGCAGAAAGAGAAAGGAGAGCAGAATCAGAGGTTATAAAACTCAATATAAAGTCCGGCTCATGCTTTCCCCAAAAGCCTCATTTAATTTATCCAGGATTTAAAAAAAAACAAATCACCTAAAAATTTCACATATTATGTTAAAGACTGTAATTTCTACCTGATATCTTAATCATTATTATGCTTTTCAGAAGCGAATTAAAAAGTCCTCTGCACCCATCTTCCCAAAATTTGATTCTAAGTGCTTGCCAGTTTAATCCCTTAGGAAGCAAAAGCAGCCCTATGTGTCTCTGGATCAATAGAAACTAAACAACAAAGGTTGACAAAGGATATTAAATTGTCAATAAAGTCCATAAATATTTTCCACTGTAGAGATATCTATCACCAGCCTGTGAATTTTGCTAGTGCAGGTTTAGTGAAGAAAAAACGAAGTCTTTATTGCCAAATGAGTTAGGAGTTGTTCTACTCTACTGCCAGTATGATGTGAGTATAAACACCACATTCTTCACAGTACCAGCCACAAAGAATTGCTCTTTACAATGAAGCTGTTCTGAGTATGACCAAACAGATGAAAGTTGACTGTCCTAGCACAGTGATGGCAGCATGGCCAGTCTCTGCAGTGAAAAGCTGAGAAGCAGCAGCACATTCCTGGTCACATCTCCAAGGCTGAGTGTGCAGGGTGACTGTGGTGGCCTGGCCCTCGCTGGCCGCACTCCTCCAGCCCCCATCACTTCCTCTCAGGACAGGGGAGAAAATAAGAAAAGCAGGAACTAGAAAGCTCAGGCTAAAATCAGGGAGGTCACTGATAAAACAGGCTTCACTTGAAAAATCTTATTCTCATCAGTTAAAATGAACATTTAATTACATGATTATGCACTCTTAATCGACAGTCAGAGACAGCCAGCCTGAGCCCAGGCATGCTGAAGCATCGGGGCCAGGCAGTGCCCATCTTCCCAGGAGCTGATTTACCCATCACTTTCAAGTGAATTTTCCTGCACTGAGTGCCACAGTAGAACTGCCAGGCTGCCAATAAAAAACATCTCTGGCTAAGAGTCAAACCCTAATACATAAACCATATTAAAGGCAGAGTGAAACCTGCAGCATTTGATTGACCTTCAATGCCCAGAGAGAATTACAAATTTCCCAAGACTGAGGAGTTCCCAAAATACAAAGCCAATAACTGATGTTTATGGATCAAATGTTAAATAGGCCTGTAAAACTGGAGTTCTTAGATTGCACATGAAAGAAGGCAAAAAACCCCCACCAGGACCCTCAAATGCAATTTTAGATTCTTCTTTGAAAATCTGGTTTAAAGAGAGAGGAATGGATACAATCTTCCCCTCACCTGGAGATTTTAATGAATTAAAACCATTTCAAGTCTGTGAAGAAAGCGCTAACACAGTCTCTGTCAAATAACATTTTCTTTCATTTTTTCTTCTCGTTACTACTTCAGAGCAGTCCAAATAACAGCAAAGAAGGAAATTAAAGTTGCAATTCCAACACTAAGCTCTGGAGTCCTGCGTTGCCTTCACACAACTGTATGAAACAGAATCTTTGTGCTTAGTACTCCCCAGCATATAGGAGCCATTTATTTGCACAGCCTCTGGCTGCTGAAGCTGTAACTTGCATTTCCATTAGCAGGTGGGCCTGGCTCTTGCCTTCCCCTGCCAGAGATCAGCAGTGTGCACCCTGACTGTCTGGTGCCTCACGCTCAGCTCATTAGAACTCTTGCCTTTCCTCTCTGTAACATTGCCCTTCCTGAGCCCAGCCTGAGGTGCTGAGCAGCCTCACACCCTCTGCAGTTTGCATTCTTGGTATCTGCCTCTCCATCAGGATGCTTTGCAAAAGCAATTCAGAGCAAATGCTGCCTGTGCCTGCCTCAAAGAGCAGCTCTCTGGGTTGTTTCTCCTAATTTTAGAACATTCTCTTTCTAATGCCATGACAGCTGTGTACAAATACAGAGAAACACCTTGAAGCATTAATAAACAGAAGCAACAGAAAACAAAAGCTGTCACATTTCCTGTGGCCATTTGAGGGTGAACTGGCATGTGTGAATATATTGCAGTTATGGAATACAGTGATATGTACATGTCCCAAAGTAAATACATTAAAAGCAGATTATGCAGCACATATTTTTTACCCATTTTAAATTTTTACTGGAAGCCAAAGAAAGATTTATTTGATAAATTCACGGGTTTATCTTTATCATTTACAATGGAGCAACTCCTTTGCCTTAAGTGTTTTTTCCTCTGTGACAGTTTCATCAACCTGGTCACCGAGCTGATACACAACAGAGGAGCACAGACAGTGCAGGAGCTGATATTTAATTACATAAATGGGTTTACCATGGGCCTATAACTGATGTTTCCAAGTCCTTTTAGACTGTGGGCTAACAGCATCCATCCAATGTCCTGCCTTTCACCACTTCCTTGTGGCATTTGTAGCCACTGCTTCCACAGAGGTCAGAACAAAGCACTTTTACTTGGATGTCACATGGCTGCTGGAAGGGCAACACCACAGCCACCAGTTTATATTTCCTAGGTCAGGATTACCCACAAGTTTAAAAACTGTAATAAGAGGCAAAGACTTTCCAGTCCTGCTGTAAACAAGAGTGTTTAGGAACCCAAAGCCTCCAACTTCAACTTATTTCCAAAGATATACTATTGAATTTTTTAGATAATAAAGGATTGTCTGGAGATTATTGTGATTAAAATTCTAACTGCAGGCCTGCATATTGACCTCAAGTTTGATGGTATGGGAAAGTTGATGGTCTTCTTATCCATGCCTGTGCTCATCATGATGCAATTTCTCAGCTATCTCCAAGAGGTATTTTTCTTCAACCGGAGTAAACTATTTTATAAAACTGGTAACAGGCAGAATGGCTGCCTTCCATACAAACCAAAGTGGTTCAATTTTAATGTGATTAGAACTCTATCAGTCTTCAGACCCAAATGTGTGTGGCCTCTGTGTAATACAGAAGCCCTTATCAAAGGCTTACTCTGAATGTGCATAAAAAACCCTTCTTTCACTGCAAAATTCCGCCTGAGTAAAATCTTACTTGCTTTACAGAGAAAGGAAAATATTCCAGTGGTGGAGCCCAGGACAAGGGGAGGATGCATGGTACCAGGAAGGATTCTGCACTTACAGATGCTGAGTATCCAGCCCAGAGACAGAAATCCATAATGGAACAAGCTGCTACAATCTGAAAATATGCTTGACTGAGGCAGGTTTCAGTCAACAACTGCAATCCTCCACAGGCAAAAGTCAAGAGCAGTTCAGTCCCTCCTCCTCCCTAGTTCCTTCCTGAGTCCCCTCCTCCCCAGTCTCTACAAAGAGACCAAGTGTCTCATACAGAACAAGGACATAGGAGCTTTTCTCCTTGTTGTAATTAAACAAAAAATGAGGGATAGGAGGGTCAGGGTACCTATGAACCAACAGGGAGAGGGATCAGGGGAGGAGCAGAGATGGCCTGACAGGAACTAAACCAGCTGGAACAAGGGGAAAGAGTGGTTAGCAGGAGGGAACCAATGGGGATACAGAGAACTAGGAACTTTCTAGAACTGAGGGACGGCGCAAACAATGATTGACGTAAACTGGGGAAGGTACAACGAATGATGGACATGGGGGGAGGCGGGAATCAGATAACTGTGGTCGCCCAGGGCATCCCGGGGCAGCTTTCCCCAGGACCCCCTCCCACACTAAAGGAGTGCAAGGACATGAGCACCAGGTTAGAAATACACATCTACAAACAGAGTACCCCACAGCCTTGTGTCAGCAGCTTTATTTTAAGAGCACTATCAGATAATACGGCTGAAGATATTCTATGGTCTCTGTGTTATGAGCACACTCCTACATCCCTTCAATAGAGTTCCTAGCAATAAAATAGTTTGCAT